CACCCGTTGTAAATGAGGTCATTTGCTTCTATTATTCAAAAGGTCGAACAAGGTTTACCTGCAAGATGAACAGCTCACTCTTTCTCATCTCATCTGAATTCAACGACATCTCGAATCCGTAATACATAGCAAAGGTCGGTTTCTTCTCAATAAGTGCGCTAAGAATTTTCGTGCCAACATCGCCGTTACGTGCCCTTGAATGTAGTGGGAATGAGAAATCTTCGGGTTTTCATCAGTTGTACAATTAAATCAGTGAAAGTTGCATAGTTTGGAGAGATAAGTTACCCTACAGTGTTATATATGTTAATAGAACTCCGCACGAATTTCTTTGACTTATGAAGTGAATTTCCAACGGGCCTATCCACTGAATTAAAGAAAATTTGCAGAAATGTATGAAAAACTATTCTACAAAAATACAGTCAAACAATGGTTCAGAGAAGCTAAAAATTTTCTTACAAAGAACATTTCTTTTATGCGAGGAGATGCAATTTTTACGCAGGTTTTAAGTTACTTTAGCAAAGATTTATCTATAAAATGGTCAAGGGGTCATCATGTGAATTGTTAGAGCTGTAGGTTATGCGATAGCTAATCCTTACCTGGCCCATACATCCTTGATTGCTGCTATCTCTTGATCCGATAACTCCGAGCTTTGTTCGCCTTGTGTAGCGCAGAAGATAATCTTTTGTAATAAATTTGTGATCATACCTACAAATAATCAAAAAAAATGGTAGATCATGACAGACGTAAAATGTGGGAGATAGGAGAAAAGAATATAATGAAAAAAGTTTAAGGAAGTTAGATATTGCGAGTAATATGTTAGTTAAAGAGGATCCAAATTAGAAGAAAGTGGCATTCTCTACAAAGTGTTAGTTCATTATAAGAGATAAAAAAAATAAGAAAAGTCCTAATTATATAAAAATAGAGGTATTTAGTTCAGGCATGGTCATGGCGCTCGAGAAAATATCAAGATTCTATGCTGGATTTGATAGTACTCCAATTAGCCGAAGGAGTTCAGACTGAGTGCAAGCAAGCAAATGCGCTTCCTGCAAAGAATTTGCGGAAATCCTTGAAGACCAAGCTGAAGCTGCGCTCGTTCCGGTGTTCGACGCAAAGTGAAAGCTGAGGACTCTCGCCCTTCCCCTCATATTATGTATAATGTGCACGATAT